TGGGGAAAAAGGAGAACCAAGACAGAAAACAATAGAACTGTAAAAGTCTCTTATAATGGTATAGCCAAGGGATAACCAATATAAAAAATTTGATGATTTTTCTGGTGTTTCTTATATATATACTATTATGGGCGTGCATGGGAGGTTTTCTCCAAAAGTGAACAGATGACACAAATATAAAGCTGGATAGACAGGGAATAACACCAAATTAGTCTCAGAGAGTATATGTTATGTGGTTATACCTAAAATAAGACTGGAAGGGAATTATTAAAATATTAACGGGATCATTTTAGTGTGGAAGGCTATATGCGTTCTTTCTCTTTCTTCTTTTATGTATTTTTCCATAATGAACCTATACTTTCATAACTTTTTTTAATCCTCACTAGAGGACACTTTTGTATTTATCTTCAGATAGAGTGAAAGGGAGAGAGGGAGGAAGAGAGAGAGAAAGAGAGAGAAACATCGACGTGAGAGAGGCATATTAAGTGGTTGCCACCCACACGACCCCAACTGGGGCCCAGGATGAACTGCAACCAAGGTACGTGCCCTTCGTAGAAACCGAACCCGGGACTCTCTGGTCTGTGGGCTGACACTCTAAACGCTGAGCCAAACTGGCCAGGGCTATACTTTGATAATTTAAAAAAAGTCCAGCCTTGGCCATTTGGCACCGTGGTTAGAGCGTCAGCCCGCAGACCAAAGAGTCTTGTGTTTAATTACTGTCAAGGGCATGTACCTCGGTTGCAGTTCGGTCCCTGGCCCTGGTTGGGGTGGTGGGGGAGGCAACCAATTGCTGTGTCTCTCTCATGTTGATGTTTCTCTCTCTCTCCCTCTCCCACTCTGTCTAAAAGATAAATGGAAAAAATATCCCTGGGTGAGGATTTAAAAAAAGTTCAGCCCTGGCCGGTTTGGCTCAGCGGTTAGAGCGTCCGCCTGCGGTCCCGAGAGACCCGGGTTCAGTTCCCGCTAAGGGCACGTACCAGGTTGCAGTTTGTCTCCGGCCCTGGTTGGTCGTGCAGGTGGCAGCCACTCAATGTGTCCCTTTCACGTCGATGTTTCCCTCTCTCTCTCTTTCCCTCTCTCTCCCTCCCATTCTGTCTGTACAAAAAAAATGGAAAAATGTCCTCGGATGAGGATTAAAAAAAAAAAAAAGTTCATATTCAAAGAGGCAGGGCTCAATCACAGTGTAATGAACACAGCATTCCACAGCATGCACTGGACTCTAATGAGTCCGCCAGGTGTGCACAGCTGTGACGGGGAGGTGACTGGCCAATGGGAGGAAGGTGAGCTTGCCTTCCTCACTCCACAGGAGAAGTGCATGCAGATCCCTCTTGGAGCTGGGCCGGATTATCCTCCCGGCAGGCTAGTGAGAGGATTTATGGGCCCAGAGGGATCCAGACATCTGTGCTCCATCTACCAGCAGCGCTAACCTCCCCAGTCAGAAGCAGACGGAGCGCCATGAAGTCGGCTGTCCCTCTCTGACTTCCACAAATGCCGCCTTTGTGCTTCGCCCGAGCCCCCAGTCCATATGGGGCACAGGGGAGGAAGGAGAGAACAAGTTCTGCAGTGTCTTGCCGAGCTGCTGCAAGCACCACTCATTGGTGACTGGTTTTTAACCTCTCTGGAAGAGCCTCCAGCCCCACGCTCTCCTGATATCCTCCTGAGGAGCCAGAGGAAGGGCTGCTAAGTGCTCCGTTATTGATTGAAGCATCATGTTTGGGTTTCTGGGCCTCACTCATCTCTTCTTCTGTAATAAAAGGAGCCCAATGTGTCTATAACTGGACATCCAAAGGAATAAATATGGCTCTAAGGTGCCAGGAGTCAGGGGCAAGGGGTACTGCGACAGAGAACCAAGCTGCTCAATCACAGCCTTGAGTTGTTTTTGGAAGTAGAAAGGGTTTATATACACATGGGTGAGAAGTGAATTCTGAGAGGCGTGGGACACTCCTTATTCTCTGTTCCTCTGCTTTTAGAATAAGCAAGACCACAGTAGGCAAAATGGAAAAGGATGTGCAGTTGGCCCACTGAGTACCCCTTTGGGACTTCCCTTTCCCCTTCATCCTCTCTGCTTCTCAGGCTACATCAACATCCTACCCCATTCTAGCTGGTGAGAGAAGCAGTAGTCACGAGATGACTACCGAGATGCTAGGGCTGGAAGTGATTTTGCGAACTTGCACTGCATGCACCGAGTTGACTGCTGGAAACATTTGGGGGGAAATGGCATTCTTTGCAAACGTGGCTGTCTAACACTGGGCATATTTTCATTGCTGACCCTTTAATGACGCACTCACAACACGAGTGCATTGCTTAAGTACTCTCTGTGTATATGTGCATATTATGAATAACTATTCTACTTCTACTGTGTTGTTTCTGTCCATAAACGGAGCCTGGAGTTAGCTATATATCATGATATTTGAAAATAGTAAATAAAACATTATTTTGCTACAAAAAATCTTTGAGGTTTTAGAAACTAATCTCCACATGTCAGATCCCTCCCTTGGGTGTTGCTTTCTCATCCTTGCTTGGCCTCAGTCTGTTGGATTTCAGACATGGCTTGATTTCTTTCTGTCCCAGTTCTCTAGGTCAATGCAAATTGTCAAGGTGATCAAATATTTCCTGCAGTGTTCCTCGTGTAGGATCTGTGCACAGCAGAAACAGGAGAAAAAGAAAGAAAGGTTGCCTGGAAAGCCAAAGGAAAGGTTTAGAAAGAATGACAACGGGGACATTTTTAGGTGATAGTTGGCTGGCTACTCAGGTCCAGCTCAATACTGTCGTGTCGGAACAGAAGTCCAGCACTGCCAAGCCTTCCACTTCTTCAAGAGAAGTTAGAAGGCCAGATTCTTACATACACTGTTTTGATTTTTAAATGTTAGCTCAAAACACTATACAGCCAAACAAAACACAACTTGAGGGCCAGCTGTGGCCATGAAGTTGCCTGAAAGCATCTCTATCTAGAATGTAAGCAACATGAGGGCAAGAAGTAGAGCCTGGTGCATAACGAGGCCCCACTCAATTTGTGGGATGAGTGAGGCCCTTCCTTGGGCAGAGGTGGACTCTCCTAGGAGAAACAACGGGAAGAGATGGCTGACAACATGGAGGTCTCATAATCAAGGGAGCACGGAGTGGGGTACTATAGAGTGAATGAATGAACTTGAGCCATGGCCACTGGGATGGAAAGGAAAGGGTGAAATAGCAGTAGACAGGCTAAAGAATTTTCAAAAAGCAGAACTCAGCAAAAGACCAGATGTGCAGGACTAGGGCGGTGATGAATCTTCCAGGGGAAGCCTGCAATGAACTTGGCCAGAAGGCTGAGGGAGGTCACGGGGGAGAGAAGGTAAACACATTTTTCTCCACTAGCTTCAAAGCTGGCTCCCCCAGACGATCTTATATTTTTCTCCTCTGTTCTCCCACAAAGGGGACCAGGGGATACCCAAGGCCCCAGAGGCCCAAGCACCAAGAGAAACAGAGCCAAACCTATAGGTAAGTACGTGTTGAGGTACTCATTCAGAAGAAACTGTTAGCAGAGTTAACAGGGGAACGGGCAGGGCAGGGGACACGCACCGGAGGGGACAGCATCTACAGGAAGTGGCGAGAACAGCGTGGGCTGAGCAGAGTCATGGCACATTGGCTGAACAGTGTGGAAGCAATGACAGGGGGGATGAGGGAGACTCAAATAGTTCTCAGGTCACAGATTATCATAGCATGGGACAAGCCTTGGGTTTCAGTCCACAATTTTCTTAATGACTCACAAAGTCAAGATAAAAAAACTATAAAGAAAAGTACTCAGGACAAGTGAGAAAGGGCAGACTCAAGTCACCTTTGCAGCTAAACAAGGTGAACCATTTCAGGGCACGACTTCTGTGGCTTCAGTCTACAAGAGGACTTTTATGATTATCAAATTGGGTACAAGGCCTTGAACAAATCTCAATTTTCACTTTAAAAGATAAACTCTGAAGAAAAACAAATATTTAAAAAAGATAAACTTTATCAGGAGTTTACGAACAAGAACTACCACCACTTGTTAACCAAAGAATTATTACAGTAGATAATATTTACTTCCTGGCTAACTAATTAGTAAATTAGTGATTGCTAACTAAGCACCAAGGCACTGTACCAAGTCCTGTAAATGCACTACCTTGTACATCTTTACAACAATTCTGTAAAGGAGCTGGTGGCACCCCATGTACCCATTAAGAATAAAAGCAAGACCTAGAGATGTTAAGTCATCTGCCCAAGGTGACAGAGCTGAGGTAACAGAACTGAGATACGTCATTTCCAGGGCCCCTGTTCTAAGCCAGGGATCGGCAAACATTTTTCTGCAAAAGATCATATAGCAAATATTTTTGGCCTTGTGGGCAACATGGTCTCTGTCACAACTGCTCAGTTCTGCCACTACAGTGCCAAAGCAGTCAGAGACAACACATAAACATAGGGCATGCCTGTGTCCCAACAAAACTTTATTTATGGACACTGAAACTTAAATTTCATAACATTTTTACAGGTGGTGGAATATTTCTCTCCTCATTTTCCCCCTAGCCATTCAAAAGAATAAAAACCATTCCTAGCTCGTGGGCCATAAGACAGAAGGTAGACTGAATTTGTTTCCATGTGCTGTAATTTTGCAGATCCTGCCCTAAGCCCAGAGGCTCTCTTGCCCTCTGGCTCACATCATGTACTGGTTTCCTTAGAAGGCCCGGAGATATTTTAGGACAAAACCTGTGGGAGTACCTCTGAATGGGGAACACGACTTGGAAATAAAACTGGGAGAAAAGACCGGACAGAAATGACTCCTCAAGTTACCCCTCTCAAAGGACACTACCTGACCCCATTTACAACTTGAAAATACCTCTTTCTTCCTTTCAGTCCCCTCCCTTGCTGCCTTCTACCGAAATAAACCTTGATTCAGATAAATCTGAAACCAGGGCAGATTTTCAGTAAACAAGAAGTGCCCCTCCTGCAGAACATGGTTTTCCGCAAACATGAGCCCATGGTGCCCTTCTTACCTGCAGGGTTTGGCTGAAGCGCTTTAACGGTGTAGCTTTCACAGGTGGGATGAGGTTTGCTAGTGATGTGACTCTAGAAAGGGGTTTGACCCGTTTATTACTAGGCTCCTGTGGGATTTGAAAAAAAGAAGAAAGAAAAATGTCAAGTCAGTTACGAAGACAACATAACTCCACCACAAGGTCTGTCCTACTCCATGAGCTGCGGGGCTGCATGTGGCTCTGTGAAATGTAGACAGTGCCCTGTTTCACTCCAGCTGTGTGGAGATGGCCTGGCTTAGAAGCCTGGGGTGGAGAAATGGCAACGAGATGTCAACAGAAGCAGCCTCTGAGTGGACAGCAAATGGGCCCAGATCTGCTCCCTATCCTCACTCCCAATATCTGCCAGTTTTTAACTTGGAAGCTTGCTTTCAGTAAAATCATTCTCCCCAACGCCTCCTGCAGAGAACAGCTGCCTCGATTTCCCGCCAATGACCTTGTCAGGCAGCTGTCTTTGATACTTCTGGTTTCTTCTTTTGAAAAACCTTTTCTCCACCTTGCCTAATGCCCCTCTCCAAATTTCTTCTATGCAATGAATTTTCTAAAGCTTGAGGAATCTTTTAGTTAACTAAATTAAAAAGAAAATGTGTAAAGAACTTCTTATATTACTGAGGTCTTAAGAAAGCATATTTGGATCTTCAGTATATTTGAAATGCACATATTAATACTTATAAAGAACAACCAGACAGCATAAGGAAATGCACCAAGAGAAAACTTCACCATGGGCATCGGTTTTTATACTACACATAGCCACAAGTTTTGAAAACCACCTCCAAATAAAGCATTGGCAAATCTGCAAGTTACCCCAAACCAAGCTGATGGGTGAGAGGGAGCCTAACCATTCCAGTGACTTTGCAGACGAGAATTACATAAATAAAACAACAGGCTGAAAGACAGAGGTGACACACAAAACATCCTACAAGGACAAAGAGAACAGTTACCCTTGTCTTCCTAAGCTCCATCTGACCTGCGGTAGATGCTGGGCAGCACACAAAACACCAAATTTTAATGGAAAAAGCCAAATGTGACAAAGGTTGTGGCGAACCTCAATCACTTCCAGAGGGAGTCTCAAGATGCTCCTCTTTCTTTTTCAGCCACTGCTTTCTTCCAAAGTTTCGGGGGTTAAGCCAGAACTTCAGATTCTCCAGGACATCCCTGCAGGGTGTTTTGAACATAGTAGGTCCTTGGGAAAATCTTGCCTGGATTTGGAATTCTGCCAAGAAACTCTCATGTTATTTCATGCCCTTGTCAGCCTCAGAAATCAGAAGCCTTCTTTGAAATAGACCCGACTTTTCTGGCATTTAAATAGAAAAATTAAAAGACAAAAAGAAAAGAACAATTCTACAATGTGGCCAGGAGTGACTTCACAATTTCCCGAAGCAGTAAAGTACTTTTCCAAGACGAAAAATGAATCTGGGCTGCCGGTTACCTCTCCAGCTTCTTGGCTTGCTGAGCTGAACAGACAGCAGGAAACTCTCTAAACACTGGGAAGGCTCAAAATGCAAAAGATGAATCTCCCAACATAAGAAATGTCATATTCTGATTCTTGAAGTGCCTGGGAGCAAGATCCAATAGTCCTGCTGCTTCCAGGTGACAGTGCCCTTCAGGATGTTCTCTATCCAACTCCTAGCTCCTGAGCATCTGTCCCCAGAGGATGATTTTAAAAATATGTTTTACGTCACAGCTGCATCACTGGCATAATGAATACATACACACACACGTGCACATGCACACTCTTGAGCATCCCCTGAATTCCTCTAAATGGGTCCTGCCTTGGGCTGGCTATGCCAGAGTTGTGATATCACCACCTTTGGTGGCATGAACTGCACTGCAGCAAGTGAGATTAGAGATCTCCGGGGGGGGGGGGGGGGGAGGAGGACGACTTGGTCTCAGATAACCCTGCATGCACCACAGAGCCCGGAGACTCATAGGTCTCTGTTTCTTTAATGGCTAAAGCTCCTGGATCACAGAATATGTATCAGAATGGGGAGATTGAAGGGCAAATGCCAACTGAGTTCTCTTACTTTAAAAAGGGGCAGGGAACATTGCACGCTTGGCAGGATAGGAGAAGATTCAGCTTTGTTCAACCTGCTGTGTCATCTTTTCTAAGGTTCTGCTGACCTTGCTGTCCATTTTACATGATTCAGCCAGATGGGCGTTTTATGCACAGCTACAGAATGTACGTGCGAGGCAAACGCCAGCTCCTCTGCAGGTTGTGCAGTGCTGCTACATGAGATTGTAATTAAAACTCCCTTCCTGAGGCATTGACCATGTGGAAGTAAACATCAGGCTGCTCTCTGGCAATCCCATCCCCAAGTAACAAACAATTGAACCAAGAACTACTGTTGCATGATTTAGTGCTATGATCCAGCAAAGTAGGCAGGTGCAATTTTAAAAGCGGAACATTTATAGGTTATTGGACCTATGGAGGAGGTTTATGCCTGACCCACATGAGTGAAACATGAATTATGGTGTTCTCATTGAGGGCATCAGTGAGAATAGGAGATTTTTAAAAAAATCCTGGCCTAATTTGATTTTTCTTTTCCATTTACTCAGTATGTCTCCAGCTACATTTTACTGCTGTCTAAAAAGAGCTTCCAGAGAAAATGTTTCCAGATTCTAGTGAAATAGCTCTATTTAGAACTAGAAAATGCAATATCAGGTTGCTTCAGGCTTTACAAAGAGGTGACAAATAGGGCTTATAGAGGCTTCTGAGTCCAACTCAGCTGCCAGACCAAGCTGGGCAAGGTCAATGCTAAACCCAGGAACAAGGTGGCCTGTTTCAAGTACAGACACCACACCCACCACGCAATTTTAAGACAGAGCAGGAGGTAATCTCATTCAAGAAGTTAAAAAAGAAGAAAAGCAAAAGGCATTGCATGTTTTGTGTGGGCAATATTTTCTGAATAACAACAGTTCTGTTGCATCTTTTCCAAGCCTTATAGCTTTTTGTTTTTCTTATCTTATTGTGCTGGCAAGGACCACTGTATATTGTTTATTACAAACTGAGATAGTGGGTACACTAGTCTAATTCCTGAATCAAAGTGATTATTTTGAAGATTTTGTCTTTAAGTATTATGTTTCTTGAAAGCATGGACAAGACACCTCTTTTCAAGTAGAGAAAGTTCCCTTCTATGCAAAGTTTCCTGTGAATTTTTAATCACAAATTATTATTAACTTTTATAAAATATTTTTCTTCATCTTTTCAGAGGAGAGGAAGGGAGAAAAAAGGAAGAAAGAAAAAAGCAGAGAGAGGTAGGAGGATGGAAACAATGAAGAAAGGCATGGAAGTCTCATGTTTTTCATAAATGAATTGATTCAGCAATTTAAAATATCTCTTATGCTTTAATTATAAACAAAGGGGAATGAAGCACTCCATGCAATTTTATTTTTAATGTGGACTTTAATTAAATAGATTTTAATATTCATTCCCTAGGGGATACAATAATTTTTATCTTCTCCTCATTCTTCCCCTTAGGAGATGAAAACCAAGGCAGATTATATGCAATGTAAGAAAATGCTTATCAGAGCAATATGATCTAGCACCATTTTTAAAAAGATATTTTATTGATTTTTTTTTAGAGGAAGGAAGAGGGGAAGAGGAAGAGAAACTTTGATATGAGAGGGAAACATTGATTGGCTGCCTTCTGCACTCCCACTACCAAGGATCGAGGCTGCAACCCTGTGCCCTGACTGGGAATCGGACCAGCAACCTTTCAGTGCACAGGATGACGCCCAACCAAGTTACACTAGCAAAATTTTTTATTCCTTCAAAAACAGTTCCATTCTAATAGGCATGACGTAAGAAAACCCTCACTCATGCTCCCTGCACTTCATTTTTGCACCCCTAGTGGTGCTGGGAGCAGCAGGAGGGTCTTCCACACCATGTTTGTAGCTGCCCTGAGACTACCTTCACTGAGCCAGCCATAAACACAGCCCGGAGGGCCCAGAAACACAGCCTTGGTGCGGGACTTAGACTCTACTGCAAGGCAGCACCGCTCTCAGATGCTCTACACCTGGCTAAGGGCAAGGGCGAGGAGACTCCATTGTGCCAGCAGATGTTTTGGCCCATGAGTTGCTGGAATCATAAAAAATATCTTTCCAATGCTTAGAAACAGCAGGGAAGCATTATGCAGGGCTCCATCTGTGTAACAGGAGGTGTGCGGGAACTGCAAGCCCCAAGGTCAAGTTTCACCCACTCAGTAACCCTCTAGAGTGCTTTCATCATCTTCATGTAAAAAGGAAGTTATAATCTCAGAGTGATTGAGAAGCTCTAGCATTATTAAATAATAATATTTAACTAACATTTGTTGTAGGGACTCTTAGTGTTTTGCAGATATTTACTAATTTATTCCTCTGAACATCCCTGCAATCCAGCTATTATAATCCTCGTTTTGTTTATTTTTAAAAATTAATTAATTAATTAATTTTAAAATTCTCACCCGAGTATATTTTTCCATTTATGTTCAGATAGAGTGGGAGGGGGAGGGAGGGAGAGAAACATCAATGTGAGAGAGACACATTGACTGGTTGCCTCCCACACGATCCCAACCAGGGCTGGGGACTGAACGGAAACAGAGGTACATGCCCTTGACTGGAATTGAACCCGTGACTCTTTGGTCCGAGGGCCGACACTCTAACCTCTGAGCCAAACTGCAACCGAGGTACATGCCCCTGGCCGGAATTGAACCCCAGTCTCATTGGTCCACAGGCCGACACTCTAATCGCTGAGCCAAACCGGCCAGGGCTATTGTATTTAATTTGCCAGTGTTTTGCCTTCTCCATGACTGCCTTCTAAATTCATGTTTTTCCCTCCAATCCCACAATAGCACGGTCTTCTACTAAGAAAGCTAAGACCTCCCATCCTTACCAGATCCTCACTCGGGCTCCGCCTCTCTCCAGCCAAATAAATGTAAAGCTCACCACTCTATGATTACCTCAATTTTACCACCCCCTTCCTTAGGGCCAAAGGGTGGGTCATACTGTTTTACAGTTTATGCCCAAGATTCTCATCCTTTAAAACTCCTAGGTCAGCACAAATATTCTGGTGTTCTCATTTCCTTTGACACCTC